TATCTTTATTAGACCAAAGCTAATGTAATACATTAATACTATCTAAATTATAGATCTGACATCACTCGGCTACCTCTGAGGGTGCCCAAGTGCGGTCTGCCTTACTGGTTAAGGCTATTGCCTGTACCAGGGCTGCACCAACTAGCCAGCGAAACCATAGCAAGATGGTTTCAAATCAGAAGAATTTTTAACTAAAACTAATTAGCAATTTTCTCTTTCTATACTATCCTCCTTTTTGCAACTATTTTTTAAATCTAATTTTCTAAAAACAAAAGATTCTATTATATCTCTCAAAGCCAGGTTATTGCCAAAATTCCTTTGATTATATTTGTATTTCCTTTTCCTCTACTGGATAACAGTCTTATAAGACTATTATCTAGTTACATTATAGTGTTATCTAGTTAGGATGTTATAGTCTAGAAATTTATATTAGATTATGTCCGTTCCAAATAGATTATGTCTGTTCCAAGTAGATTATGATCTGTAAAACCGTACTCAGATATGTGGCTAGTTATATAGTTTCTCTTTTTTAGGTCACCCAACTAATTAAGAGAGAAGATGCGTGATTCTACCTTTCTTGGCCTGTTTGGAGATCATCTTAGATGCCATCTTGACCGGATTCTATATTGAGGTGCTTACCTTTTTGTGCCTATTTGGTTGTCTATCAAAATACCAAAATGTGGTAAAAAAAATATTGTGTCGGGTAGCGCAGTAAATTTGTATTTAAATTTTCCCGGCACTATAGTATAATTCTGGCTGATCTTTAGAACACGTATTTTGAGGATTCAACTCGGCACCATAATAGTGACCCAATAGTATTTAGAACTATCGTGATACTAGTAGTAGACTAGTAGAAAACCAGAAAGGCTCTATTAGTTTGCCATTTTTAGATCACTTCTTGGTTGCCGAGTTATTGTACCCAAAGATCAGGCTGAAATTATGGGCTGATATTATTGTTAATTTACTGCGTCTTCAGTTCCTGGCACCTTTCTTTGGTTAGTCAATTAGAGGTATAATACGACAATACTAGCTATCCCTATGTGTTCCTATAAAAAAAAATTCATAAAAACATTCTTAGGGACAACCTTGATATCGATTTTGAGATTCCTACAGTAGTTTGATTTAATTTATTCTTTATTACTTGTCTCTATGTCCTTATGAGTTCCTATAAAATGAAAAAGTTCTAGAAAAAAAATTTGATTTTTATAGTATGTTACCTTTGATAACTGTATATATTTATAGATATGTTTGATATATAGTTAATGTATACTATAAAAAAAATAAAAAAAAGTAAAGAAGTTCGAATTTTCACAGGGACTAATAGGGTCATAGGGACAATAATAAAGATGACTTTCCAGAGTTTTAAAAATACCAGTTTGCTATCTTGAGATGTCCTTGTTAAGTTTTTTTGCCGTCCCTATAAATTTTTCATAGGGTACAGGGAATAGTTTTTATAGAGACAAATTTTTTTAATAAGTTGGTGCACTTACTCTAGCTAAAGCATGGTTTCTAGAGCTAGATCAGGCATTTTTGATCCAAGGATATGCATGTTGGATATGATCAATATATAGTAGTAAATTCCGTTCCAGTTATTAGAACAACTGGGACAGAACTGGGACAGAATTTGATATAGAAAAAAAGCTTCTTTCTTTGATTTAACTTGTTCTTTTATACTATGTCCTAGTTGTCCTAGTTGTTCTAGTAAAAATAAGAATTCTAGAAAAAAATTCATAATTCATCCTATGCTATATGTTTATGGTATATACTACTACGTGTATGATATATGTTAGTATGCTTATAGGAAAAAAAAAATAATAATAATAATAAAGAATCTCGCATTTTACTTGGACAACTGGGACAACTAGGACAGCTATTCAAATTCCCTTTAATTCAGCTTAATATTACCATTTAGCTATATTTTTCCATCTAGGTTTCCGTCCCAGCTCATCCCAGCAAACTAGGACAGGTTTTCTGGGATGGTTTGCTAGTAGAATTTATTCTGGATTTTTGCAAGCTTTTGCCGATAATAGTATTCCATATTTCGGTACTTCCCTGCATGTTTTTTGCATATACTATATGCGGAGAATGTAATTTCATCGCACTCCTTACATGGTACATGTTGGGGTGATTTTCAGTGATAACTGCATCTTTCAGACCTATAACTACCCTGTCCACAGACTTCTCTGCTTCTAAGAATATATTCACAATGATAAAATGCTATCTTTTAAGATGGTTTCTTTTTATGCTATAAATTGATGTCGGTTACTTTTTAGTTGAGAATTAATTTTTATTTTAAACTTTTTCTATACAGATTTAGTATTTCTTCAAAAAAATGTCTGATATTACCATGACCCAATCTGAGCTTCAGAGAATTTGGACAGCCCTGCCCTTTTTCAGCCAAAGGCTGAAAAAGATAAAATAAAAGGACAAGTAATTCGTTACTCTGATGAAAATTACTTGACGGGTTTTCCAACCCGTGATGATTTAGTCACAAAAAACAATGAAGAATTAATGGCAATTCTTGAAGATGCTTTATCTAAGCATCAAGATATTCCATTTATGGCTATTGATGTGAAAGAGTCCACTGAATTCACAAATGATTAAGCCTGATATGTATTGCGTCTCTATGGCCCTCTTATCAATAGTCAGAAAGCAGTTGTTTCAATAATAGAATTCAAGTTTTTTTTGATATTCTCATACCAGAAGATGAGTCTCTCAATTTGTTTGAAACAAAAATAAAGGCCATCCTCTTTGGTGAAATAAAATAGTTAAAAATAGAACATGTAAAGGCGTATCCATTTTGTAGTTATCATCCTGATAAAAAGTCATATTTGCGTATTTACACAACTGACACTAAGCAAAGAAAGATTGCAATGAAAGCTATTCAAATGAAAAAGTACGTAATAGTGTCAGATAATCAATTTACGTACTATCGCAAGGTGGCTCGTGAATATGGAATTTCACTATCAGGATGGTCTACAATAAGTAATTATACGTGTAAATTAGAGAAAGGAAAAACCCGCTTTGTGCATATACTTTCTGGGTATTTATAGAGAATTTTCACCCTATAGAAGACCTGGTGTCATTAAAATATCGCTTTCCAATTTTAGCGCTCATGAGAGATCGTACACTTGCTCTCACATGAGATATAGAAACATATAGTTCACGTAGATTAGGTGAACTTCTTGAAGCGATTAATGAAGAAGATTTTGTGATTATGATCTGCATGACGTTGCATTGGAAGGATGATCCAAGACCATTAAAACAAATTTGTCTTGTCGATGTCGAAACAGCACCATATTCATGCTGAATCACAATTGTATGTGGATCACAAACTAATTTGCTAAAAGCATTTGCACTTTGCTGGCGGGTATTTGCTCTAGACATCCAACTTGAATTTAATGATTCACAATATGATTGGCCTTTCATTATAGAAAAAGCCAATAAGTTATATCTCATTGAATGGATATGGAAACAGATATCAGGAAGAACTCGCCAGGCAACTTTCGAAGATATTATACAATAGAATTATTATAGAAGATTAGGAGATATAACTACTTTCAATGAAACTCTTTCTGTGAAAGAGAATACAGAAGAAGAAGTAGAAGAAGAATTTAGAAGGGATTCTAT